CTCAAAATTTTTTTTTTTTTCTAAACGCAAAAAAATAAAAAACGCACAGGCGATCAACTACCACCGAAAGTAGGAAAAAAAAGGACGTAAATTTCATTTGGGTGCAGCATTGCATGACCACACAATTGTCAGTTTAACACAGCGCCATAACGGCCTGGTCAGGAAGGCAGGTAAATCCTCAGGAGGGCAAGTGATTAAAAAAAAAAAAAAACAGACGTCACACTTACCTGCTCTGTGCAATGGTTTTGCACAGAACAGCCCCAATCCTCCTCTTCTCTGGTCCCCTGCTGGTGCTCCTGCCCCCCCCGCTGAGTGCCCCCAAAGAAGCTGCTATAAGACCCACAGAGCATGATTCAGCTGCGTTTGCTCCTTACTGGCTGTGATTGACAGCAGCAGGAGCCAGTGGATCTCACTGCTGTGTCTCAGCCAATGAGGAGCGAGAGACCTGGGAGAGCCAAGGGTCCTGTGCACAGCACTGAATTGCAATCAGGCTCAGGTAGGTATTAGGGGGGCTGTGGGTGGGGCAGCGCACAGAAGGTTTTTTTTTTGTTTTTGTTTTTTTTCTTTATCCTTCAGCCGTTACTACCGCTCTTTAAGAAATGGTCTCTATGGCAGTGACAAGTCTTAAAGCAATTGTAAGAACTAACTAAATTTATCACACGCATCAGTAAACCAACACTGGCACAAATTCTTGCCTGACTTATGTGCAGGTAGTTCTTAAAGGGAACTTCTGCCAGAAATATGTTAATGCTATATTGAATTCCCTTGAGTGTGTTTCAAATTAAAAGGCTGAGGTGGCATTCTGCTGGAATTATTTAGTTAGGATTCCTTTTTCTGTTGTTGTACACTATTATCTAAACTATAAATAAATGGATACTATATTGTGAATGTAATGTATCCTTTAGGAGAAGCATTGGGAATGAAAGATCCATTCAAAGTTCCATTTGCCTTGTTTGAGTCCTATCCAGAAGACTTCTATGTGGAAGGTCTTCCAGAGGGGGTCCCATTTCGCAGACCGTCCACTTTTGGCATCCCTAGACTGGAGAAGATTCTTAGAAATCAATCCAAGATTAAATTTGTCATCAAGAAGTAAGAAAAATGTACTGAGAATACTATGGCCTTTACTCAGTGAGGTGCAATTTGTAGTAACCTATAGCAACCAGTCAGAAGAAAACGGGTTGCATCGAGAAAGTAAATTGTTTGTTGCTGATTATTTTGTAAGCTTTTATGTTTGTAAATGTGTCCTAAAATGTATTAAATGTATGTTTATTGCTTATACATACAACTTTGGTAATATTATGTTTTTTTGGTAGACCAGAACTGTTTGAAGCTGCAGCTAAAGATTCATCATTACATTATCCACAAAGTAAGTAACATTTTCATTTTTGTAATGAGCCCTTTTTGAGAACCACATTAACTGCTTTCCGACCGCCCTATATAGGATATACTGCTACAGGGTGGCACGGGTGCGTAAAATCACGTGTGTGTGTGTGTATATATATATATATGTACAGGTGATTTTGCATTTCCAGGTTGGGGGCGCGCACCCTACCTGTGCCGACATTCACAGCCGTGGCTGTCCGTCACTGGGTCCCGGCCGGTGACTACTCGCCGACGCCCAGTGATTGCCAAAGATCTCCAATATGGAGGAGAACTGTATGTAAACAATACAGTTCTCCTCCCTGTCAGCTCGTGCACACTGCTTTGGTTGGCTGTGCAAAATTACAGTGTGATTACAGTGAAGCACACACACAGAGTTTACTGTGTAATGGCTTAACACGGTTAACCCTTTGATCGCCTCTTATGTTAACCCCTTCCTGGCCTTTGCCATTAGTACAGTGTTAGTACTTTTTTTTTTTTTCTAAGCACTGATTACTGTATTGGGTGTCCCTGGGGATGGCAGTGACACCAAGTCAATTTCCCCCAGTGTCAGAATGCCCACCGAAGTCCTGCTATACTATAAGTCGCTTATCGCCGCCATTACCAGTAAAAGCAAAAATTCCAGTATCTATACCGCCATTTGTAAACAATATAACTTTCACATAAACCAATTAATTTACACGTATTGGGATTTTTTGTAGCAGACATGTAGCAGAATACATTTTGGCCTAAATTTATGACTAAATTTTATTTTTTTTTTTAACATTTTTTACTGGACATATTTAATAGCAAAAAGTCAAAAATACGTTTTGTTTTTTTCCTCAAAATTGTGGGTCTTTTTTTTCTTTTATAGCATAAAAAATTAAAAACACACAGGTGATCAAATACTACCAAAAGAAAGCTTTATTTGTGGGAAAAAAAAGACTGTCAATTTAATTTGGGTGCCCGCACAATTGTCACTTTAAAGTATCTCAGCACCGTAATGCAAAAAGTGGCCTGGTCAGGAAGGGGGATAAATCGTCAGGAGTGCAAGCGGTTAAACCATATTGATGTTTACTTTAGAATACTACAGTTTTCTTGTGGGTGTGCAGGGCATGTACTGTATATTGTAGAAGTGTCATTGAGGCTCGTTAGTAAAAACTACAGTGAAGGATGCAAAAATTTAAATTGTTCAAAAGCTATGTTAAATTTGTATTTTCTTCTAAAAAAATGTTTATTAAAGTATATGTATTTTGTATCACTTTTTAAGAGAAGCTACAAGTCCAAAACACTCCAACCACAACATCTGGGCATGAACATCTTAATATCATTCAAGTATCTTTACCAGGTATGTAGTACAGTTACTCAGTTTAGTAGAAATATCTGTTTATAAAATGTTCTGCATTTTCATTCAAAGTTATTAAGTGACCATGTCTGTGTAAAAAAAAAAAGAATGCCTAAAAGATTTCTGCAATAGAAGAGCATTTATACTCTCCTCTCCAACAGCCTGTGTCTCCTACCATTCCTCCTTCCTACCATTGCAACCTTCATCAGTCTCTTGGGCTTTCAGGAGTGTTCGATACCTGTGTTCCCCATTGCACACTTTGGTTTCTTACTCTGACCCCTATGTTGCTACAGGGCACAGAGATTGGATGAAACTGGGGGGGGGGGGCATCTGATTCTACCGAAAATATTGAATGTTGGAGATGTTGACAGTAGCTGCAGTGCTGGAATTATAGCTTTTCTATAGTATGGACATTCCTTTAGGATTTTCCTTTACCCTAATAGGGTTGGTTTATTAATAGTCACATACACGGAGTAGTTTTAATCCAGTAGGACCGTGTGTCTCAACCGGGACTCTGCAGGGTTGAACCTGATATGTTGCCGCCGTCTGCCTCTCCACTCGTGCTTCACCAATGTCATTTGTAACCAGTTGTAAAATTTGTGTAAAAAGTAATTTTGTTAAATAATTGTTCTTAACAACAACTTGCTGATCATACCAGTGTTCGTGAGCTGTAGATGTGAACATTATTTCAGGGGTTCCTTGAGATCTCAAACTTTTTGCTGGGGGTTCCTCGAAGGTAAAAAGGTTGAGAAACCCTGCATTAGGGTATCCAGCGCAAAAAAACCACACTAAAGATACTGAAATCCCCTTATGGATGGATGGATGGTAAATATAAGGAATTGGTGACTACTGCTAGCAGGAACCACAGTTTGTAGAATGAAGGTGAGCATAAACATTATTGGACACTATTCAATTTGCGTGTATAAATATAGCCAACGGTGATCGAAATGGAGGAGTCCTGGCTGGATGTAACTACCTGCACTTCTTGGCCAGAGAGGTGATGAAAGCCAGCACTGTCAGCAGAAGAAGAATAGGAACCCGCCGGAGGGGGATCACAGAGCCACTCTCAGAACCAGGGTCTTCCACAAGTGTTCTCGGGGATTAGTTAAGATGAAGTCACAATTGCGCATTTTGATTGTTGGGAATTGATACTCCAAAATGGTAGTAATGTTTCTCACTTCTTAAGGACTTCAAGATTGACTTTACACAAGATGTTGCTCTTTAGATACCAGAGGATTTGTTTAATCATTAGCCACAAAGAAACTGCATGGCCTTCCCTCCTCCCTGATGACCGGAATTAATGTTTTGAGTCAGTGAGAATGCATGCAGTTTTTTTTTTGTCACCAGTCATATGATGACGCTGTACTGCACTGGTGACAGTATGTAAAAAAAAAAAAAAAATTGGGGGGGGGGAACAAATGTAATTTCTTAATTTTGACAAAAAATTACAGCTTCAGAAACCTTGCCGTGCATCTTACTCAATACCCCAGACTGTCTACTTTACAAAAAGGGGTCACCTGGGGGGTATTTGTACTGACCTGGAATTTTAAGGGCCTCAAGAAATGAGGCTGTCAGTACATCAGAATTGATCAATTTTCCAATGCATACATATATACCATAGTTTGTAGACACTATAACTTTTACACAAACCCATTTAATATACGCTTACTGGGATTTTTTTTTACCAAAGACCTGTAGCAGAATACATGTTGGCTTAAATTTATGAAGAAATTTGATTTTTTTTTTAAAATGTTTATAGGATAGGTTTTATAACAGAAAGTTTTCAATATGTTCAGTCTTTTTTTCATTTATATAATAAAATAAAAAAAACCCAGTGGTGGTCAGATATCACCAAAAGAAAGTTCTATTTGTGTGAATAAAATGAGAAAAAAAAAAAATCTCATTTGTGTACAGTATTGCATGACTACGCAATTGCCAGTTAAAGTAGTGCAGTGCTGAATAGCTAAAAATGGTCTGGCCACGAAGGGGGTGATAACTAAATTTTGTAAGTGTGTGTGCTCTATATATATATATATATATATATATATATATATATAACGTGCATATGTAATAAAATGATGGACCCGAAGACCTGTATATATTCTGAAACGGCTAACATACAACCCTCTTTCCTTGCATTGAATCCCACTAGGGACACTCTTTGCATTGCCTTTGTATGTTTTCTGTGTAAGTTATCCTCCCTCAATCCAAAATCATGCAGGAAGTTAACTGGTTTTGACCAAAATTGTCCCTACTGTATGTGAGGAACAGTTCAGTATTCTTCATAAGGTGCCATGGAAAAGTTTCTGTGCTAAACACATGAAATAAATACAGTTCAAACTATGTGATATTTAATAACCCTAAATAAAGTTTGTATTTCAGATGGGGATAATGAGAAAAAAACAGGAAAAGTAGACAAAGCTCGCCAGTTAAGGGAACAAGTCAACGAACTGTTCAGCCGGAAATTTGGTAAGCTGTACAAAGGCACTGTTTTGTACTTTGTCAGAAAAGAAGTAAAAATATAATCAAAGTTTTCTCTCTTTGATTGTACTTGTAAAAATGTGATCATGGTTATTAGGGAATGATCAGATTATCAACTTTTTCACATCACTCACATATATTGCTTAGCACATCTGTATTAGCTCCTGTTCACATCAAGCCCGACTTTGAAATCGTGCGACTTACAGTGAAGTTGCACGTTTTCAAAGTTGGGGGACATGCCGATTTCAAGTGCAATTTGCAAGACATCTGACACAGATGTCTATGCAAATCGCACAAAAAGTAGTGCATGTACGACTTTAGAAATCGGTGTGGCTCCGACCAAGTCGGAACCGCACCGATTTGACTGCTGTAATTGTGGTCAATAGGGTGCGACTTGGCACATGATTTGCAAATCGCATGCCAAATCGCACCCGATGTGACCAGGGGCTAGAGGTGGAGTTCTGGCCAATGCCCCCCCCCCAAAAAAATAGCAGTTAGCAGCTACAAATACTATAGCTACTGACTTTTAATATTAGGGCTCTTACCGGTCAAGTGCTGTTCTCATCCCGATTTAATTCTTCAATCAGCTGTCGGGTGCTGGCGACATCTTGACTAAGGGAAACCTTGTGGCTTCACAGCCATTTTCCTACTATGAAAACATGAAGCGCTCTGTACTTTGTGAATGGTCTGCAGTCCTCTGGGACCTGTGAAAATGTCCCAGAGGGCTGTGGGGGGGGGGGAAGGAGGGGGGCTGAACTTTTATGGTGAAGTGAGCCGGATGTGAGAGCAGGTACCTGTCAAAACCAGGTACCCACTTCCCCCTCCCCTCCCAAAAGGTGCCAAATGTGACAACGGAGGGAGGAGGCAGATAAGCGGAACTTACACTTTTAGATGGAACTCCGCTTTAAGAAGAAATACATTATGAGTCAAAAACATTTGACTCAAAGACATTGTTGAGTAGTATTGAAATCCGAGATTTTAAAAGATGATCTGTAGCAGGGTTTCTCAAACTGTTCCCACTGGGGCTTTACATGGTAGACTGCTTACCTAGTGTAGACAGCTTGCCAGGTGTCAGTGTTGAATATTATAACACAACCTCCATTTTAGATTTTGGGTAGCTTTACAGATAAACGAAGGCATTTTGGTTCTTTCAGACAGGGGTGAGGAGGGGTATTTACTAAGGCTGGAGAGTGTGAAACGAGGTGCACTTCTGCATAGAAACCAATTGGCTTCCAGATTTTATTGCCAAAGCTTATATGAACAAGCTGAGGCTAGAAGCTGATTGGCTGCCATGCACAGCTACACCAGATTCTGAGTTAACCAGTTTTAGTAAATCTACCCCACTGCCTTTAAGATTTTCTTGTGACCTCAAATGATTTCCTGCACTGGAAATGCCATTTGGACAGACAATTCTGAACAGTATCTGCTATTCAGAGTATGTCCTTAAGAAAAATACTCTGTCTATAGATTGCCCTGGAAGGAGACTATTATATTAATATATTGCTGTAGAGTGAAAAAGCAATGTGGGATGATTTGTCTGGGAAAGGAGTGTGACAGCTATATTGGATAGAGACCGCTGTGTTAGTAGTTGCCATGTGAATATTTTACCTTGGAGAGAGTCTTCAAAGTGCAACAGCTATTAAGGGCTGTTAGCGAAGTTGCCATTCATTCTGCAGCATGCATATTGTGGGGGTTGCTGGATTTTTTTTTTTTTGGCAGATGCCATTTAGAACTGGTTCATACCATGCTTGCACAGGAATTGCACAGGAACATGCTGTGCGTTCTTGTGTGATTTACACCGCATTCAAAGCGCAGTCCATTTACGATCTGCACCGGTTGTTAATCATAAGTTAATTACACCTCAAATGCAGGCCGCAAACACAGTGCATTTTCCTGCACAAGATCACATGGTACAAAAGTATCATGCAATTCGGTTGCAATGCGTTTCTAAAAGTAGCGAATGCATTACTTTTGGTGCGATGTGATTTTAGCTTATTCAAACTGAATGGGCTGAAATTGCACCACACAGAGCCGCATGTGAATTGCACTGGAATGCACAGCACTTTTCTATGCGATTCCTCGCTAGGCTCGGTGTGAACTGGCCCTTACATCGTATTACCACTAAGCAATGGTACATTTTCACATGTTCACGTGTTGGACTAAGGAAGCATCTTATGTAAGGCCTGATTTAAAAATTGCATATTTTCAGATAAAGATTATTTGGTGATTAAATTATTTCTTAATAATCAACTCGTATGTACAGCATGATCCATTGGGTGTCTCCTGTAACCAGCTGAGGATGCCACTTCATAATTTATCTGTTGGTCATAAGTTCATGTAATATCCTTTATTGCTCACCAAGCATTACTCCCTACTATTACTACATTTCCTTAGAGGGATATTACACAAATTCTTTCGAACACTGAATATTACACTACATTTGTACATACATTTTCTTTTTTGTGTCCAACAGCCTGGTAGGGATGTACTGTTCTACCACAGGGCACAGTGTTACTGCAACCTGGGGAGGAAGGCACATATTTATATTACATACTGTGCCAAGCAGAGCTGCCCTGTGTTGTTTTTTTTTTTTGTTGTTTTTGTTTGTTGTCTTTTTTGGAGCAGCACATCTGCCATAAATGTGTTAGTCCATGGACCAGTTGTCCACCTAATGCTTTGAGTGTAAACTTTTGCATGTCGAAACATAGTATAGTATATATGTGAACTCCAGTTCTGTTTTTGCAATGTCATTAACATCTCTTTGCTGCTTTGGCTTGTGATATACTATGTAATCATATAAAAAGAGATGTAATTCAGCATTACTGTGCTTTGATTCTGTTTGAAATTCAGTACCTGTTCCTTTCAGCACATGCCCTAATAATCTAAGGAATGCCCTGATAATCTAAGGAAATTACAATACATATTGTCACTATTGTAATGGCCCTAGTATATTCAATGTTAACACAGTGTGCTAACATTTGGCAATGCTGTGTTTATAGGTGAAGCCATTGGAATGAACTATCCTGTGAAAGTTCCCTACAGAAAAATTACTGCCAACCCTGGATGTGTAGTAGTAGATGGAATGCCATCAGGTGTTACATTCAAAGCCCCCAGTTACCTAGAAATAAGTTCTATGAGAAGAATTCTGGACTCAGGAGAATTCATTAAATTTACAGTTATAAGGTGAGTGCAATAATATATACAGGATACTGTCAGCTGATGTTGGTTATTAAAAGACATGTTTTTGCACCTAATTGGACCTGGATATACGGTTACCCATTTTGGAAGTGAGAACAGTTAAAATACCATGTTGCTCAAAAAATGAACAGGTGAAAAGAATATTAAACTGGAGCTAAATATAAAATATAAAAAAATTGCAAGCAGGTAGCTACATGAGTAGTTCAGCGTGCATTCCTGGCAAACTCCTGCTGTGATGCAATTACTGACTCTAAGCACATTCATGTGATGATGTCATCCCCACCTGCCAATAAAGAGGCTGAAAACGTGACGTTGCCGACGAGGGATGTAACTGTTGCTTCACCGGAAGGTGGAGGTGATTATTTTGCAGAGTTAGTTCTTCTTCAAAAGACCCACAGAGTATTTGTGTTTTGGTCATGTGGAGGGCAGCAAACTGTGTTTTATAAAATGATATGTCTTGGTACACAGACAGCATAATGAGTAGGAGAAACAAATAAATGCAAACAAGTTTGTCTTTTAGCTTTGTGTTATCAATTGCATCTCAACTGAGTACAATTCTCTTTATCTAGTTACTGGCAAGATTGATTTTCCATTGCTATTATGGTTCCTGTGGTTGAAAATCCCAATCGGGACGGCTGAGACAGCAGACTACACATACACTAAAATTTTGCCTATTCAGTATTCAAAAGCATGTCATTCAGTCACCCTGTCATTGAAACAGGCATCTGCATATTGGGTAAAAAGCATTTTATCTGCCCAAGAGCAGGCTGTGTTGTGCAGGAGTACATTTAGGCCTGTTGTATTACATGGATTACATATCTGATTACAAAAGTTGTATGTACTTTATTGGAGGAAGTCTTTGAAAAGTAATTGAACACCACATTTCTGGATAAAGGAAAAAATAGAAACAGCACTTTTTTCTGAAAGGTCAGAGTTTAAACAAACCACACAAGCTTTTTTTCTGGGTTAAAAAGAGAAGTCCTCAAACATGAATTTCCTAAATGGAGTAAAATACACCATCACAAACAGTGATGGTGTAAAAAAAAAAAAAACGCACAACAAGCTTCTAATAGTTTTCTTTAGTTTTGAAAAGATTAAGTAAATGGAATATATCAGAAACATTAATATTCTATTTGTACATTTCTTATAGACCTTTTCCTGGATTGGTGTTAAATACTCGTAAGTATATATATGGCCTGAAAAGCATATTTGAATGTTCCTTAAGGGTCGGCACAAAAAGTTTCCATATCAAAGTTGATGTTTAATGGCCAATTATCTTCTGAGGTCAAATAATTAGAGTTTTATTTGCAATGAAAGCGTCACTTTCTGTCTCAAAATAATTGCATAAATGTTTGGAAAGGTGTTTGTGTGAGAGCATATCTAAACAAACAACCTCATAATGGCCGTGGAGTTATCAAAACAAGTAATTGAGGAGTAAGGTCATACTCTGGAGCACCACTAAATTGATATAGTTGATTAGTAAAAAATTAAATTCAAATGACTCAAAAAAAATGTCCACCAAAACTCAGTGATTGGGCAAGATGGGCAGTAGTAGCTCTAAAGGAATTGTAGCAATCTATGGCTGATATATTGAGGAGGCATGCAGTTGAACAGGTATAATATGGATGCTCCACAAAGTGCCTTATAGAGCAGTTATGAATAGAGAGCCATTGCACAAAAAAAAAAATGTGGATCAAATTCTGTTTGGATGAAGGGTCTAATTTCAGACCTCTATTCCTCCCTTGTGACCGCCACAAGCTACGGCAAACTCTCTCTTGTGGTGGAATGGGAAACAGACCTGAGCAAGACTTTGGATTAGATGGCCTGGAATAACATCTGGCTAATTTCTTCTAAGTGCTCTCTAAAATTGCCTCACGCAGGAGAAAGCATTTAAATTGCTTCCTCGTTGGTACGTGAACCCTGATCGTGTATATTGGTTTGCTCTTGGTGCATCTTCAATGTGTTTTCGGGGCTGTAGAAAGCAGTGTACCTTACTCCAAATTTGGTGGATCTACCCCAAAGTGATATACTTTTGGACACAGGTGTATGCTGTGATCAGAGCTTTACTGAACATATCCTTGGCCCGTAATCCGTTGAAAACTTTGCTACGTAAGCCTATAACAGCTCTTATCTAAGAACCAGAGAAGATTGGTGGGTTTTGATTTCCTGGCAGCCTGTCAAACACTGGCCAAGGGTTAGCACCTTTTACTCTGGATTTACTCACCTTTTATTCTGGATGATACTCATGCTAAATTTTTGAATTGTGTATAAGGACAATTTGAACCTTGACCACTCCTTACTTTCAGGAAACTTCCAGCTGTGGACTTGTGATTGTGTCCTTTGGGATTCCCCCCCCCCCCTTTTTCCTTTACTTCTCTAATTGTTCAGTTCTTCTCTTTATTTTTGTGTCTCAGTAGTTTTTTTTGGTTTTTTTGCTTGCTGGCTTGACAAGTGGCTCTCAGGTAGTTTCCTCTCCTAGGTTATGGGTTATACTAGTTATTTACGGGGAGCACTTCCTACGAAGTGGGGCTGTTCCTTTTGGCATTTGCACTCCCACACCCTGTCTATATTTACTGTATAAGATGTTATGACATTATCATGTCAGTCTTTACTTGCTTGCCGATATACTGTATTTGGCATATCTGCTTACCTTTTTCACCTCCTCATCCATATAATATAGTTTTTTGCACTATTGTCCTGTTCTGTATGAAAATTACTGTAAAAAAATTAACATTTTTGTAAAAGAAATCCTGTTTGGAGATTGTCAACAGGCCCATGGCAGTTTCTGGTTTGATGAGACCAAAACTAAAACTTTTGACCTTGGCATTAGACCATTTGTATGATTGAAAGCCAACATTGTTCATTACCCTGAGAACAGCATCCCCAAAGGGAAGCGTGGTGGTGGTTGCATCATTTTGTGGGGATGATTTTTATTGGCAGGAATGTTGGTCAATATTTAGCTTCATTATTCTATGCTCATTGCTCTTAACTTGATCTGTTAAAATGTACAGGGAACCAATTTCCCCAATACGAGAACCAGAACTTTTAGATTTTTTTTTTTATTTTTATAAAAAAAAGACCAAGTAGGATTTATCCCAACCTTTCAAGCCAGTAATAACATTGGAGAATCCTTTTATTAACATATAAAACAAAAAATATCTTAGGCTGCACTCCACAGATACCAGGCTTTTGATTCTCACTCCTGGCCTCATTTGTTTCATGTTTTTCTTAAATAGGACTTTGACCCTCATTGTGTTAATTGGATTTACTCCTTAGGTTGGCCATAGACAGTGCAAATTTCTTTCCTGCAATCTTGGGTTGATCAAATCGATCAACTTGGGTACATTCAGCCTTCCTGTACATGGTTTGAATCTTGGCCTTTTCCTGCTGAACAGGCCGAGACTCAAACCATCCATGGGCAGCTTTATATCTTTCTCCAGTAATTTTTATAAGATACTCATGTTTTAAATGAGCTAGTTTTAATATCAAGGGGGGAGAGTCCCAATATAAGGGGTTTTGAATTGGCAGGCATGTCACATATTATTATTATACAGTATTTATATAGCGCCAAAGGGTTTGCTCAGCGCTGTACAGTAGCAAGGGGGACAGAACATGAGACAAGACAGTAACAATACAATACACGAGGGTTCGAGGGCCCTGCTCTTTCGAGCTTACAATCTAGGAGGGAGGGGAAGGTGGTACAGGAGGAAATGGCTGTGGGGGATGGAGTGGTGGGAGTAGTGGAGGAGGTTAGTTGTTAGGTGGGGTCAGGTGTTAGGTGAGGTTGGGGGTAGGCTTCCCTGAAGAGGAGGGTTTTCAGGGTGCGCCTAAAGGTGAGGAGGGTACGTGACAGTCTGATGGATTGGGGTAGGGAGTTCCAGAGGATGGGGGAAGTCCTAGAGAAGTCCTGAAATCGGGCGTGGGAGGAGGAGACCAGGGAGCTAGAGAGTAGGAGGTCCTGTGAGGAGCGGAGGGCACGGGTAGGGTAGTATTTGGGTATCAGGTCATGTAGTTTGGGGCGGCGTTGTGAATGGCTTTGTAGGTCAGAGTTAGCAGTTTGAATTTGATGCGTTGGGCAATCGGGAGCCAATGAAGGGATTGGCAGAGGGGGAAGGCAGATGTGGAGCGGTTGGTGAGGTGGATGAGTCTAGCCGCTGAGTTCAGGATCGACTGGAGTGGGGATAGCGTTCGTTTGGGTAGGCCGGTGAGAAGGGAATTGCAATAGTCCAGGCGTGAGATGATGAGGGAGTGTACGAGTTGTTTGGCATGCCTTTTTGTGGAAAACACCTTACTTTTTATTAACCTCACTTCCTAATCTTTGGACACTCTCCATAATGATGCAGAGATACTTAAGTTAACAATCAACAATGCAAAGACTATGGCCCTCAATATATCTCTCCTAATCAGCCCTAAACTCTTCAGTCTCTACTGTACCTTTTTTCTAATCTTGTCTCAATACATAAATCTCTCAAAGTATGTACATTCATAGGTTAACAGTCATTAAATCTGTACTATTTTTTATTTCCGTTATAAATAAATACCTTGACATCTGAGTTCATGTTGTTAGCGATACTTTAATTGTCATTTAGTTCAAGTACGCACACACTTATCATACCTCCCTCCTTTCTCTTTTTCTTTTTTTTTTGTTTTTATTCTTTTTTTTTTTTTTATAATCATTTGATTATCTTGGACTGTCAGAGTTTGACCCTTCTATCAGAGTTTCCTTCGTGCATTAAAAATCCTAATAAAAAAATACACCAGTAGAATTTTGTTTAAATATTTTAAGAGCAGAGGCCTACAACAATCGGTGGCCCTTGAAGATTTGTGCGAGGCTATCAAATTTTCATTTTACTTCCCAGCGGAAGAGCTGGCATCCGGGCAGAACACTACTGACCTCTGCCCAGTACCAAAAGCACTTCCAGCCCTCTCTCCCAGCAGCAGGCTGATAAAGTGGAAATCGTAACCCCAGCTGACATGCTTGCAGGGGGGCAATTATGCCAGTCTCTGCCCATAACCAGTCCCAGTAGAAGCACTGGCAACAGGACAGATGGTCTACTACCTGTGGCTAACACCTACAGTGGCACGGGAACCTCAGGGAGAAGTAGTCAGTGTTGCTTCTCCCCAGTGGCAATTCCACAGTCCAGGAGAGGAAGGGGTCATCCTCCCCCCACTCGGTAGTGGCAGTGTAGGCACTCGGTAGAGCATGAAGTTGTCCTTGCTTCACTACGAGAGTCTAGGAGATGGAGCAACCGGATCATCTCCCCATGGAGCAACCGGCTCATCTCCCCAATGGCATATCCATAGTCCAGGAGAGGAGGTGGTTGCCCTCCCTCCCCAGTGGCAGATCCACAGTCCGGGAGCAAAGGAAGCCTTTCTCCTTCCCAACAGTCAGCCAGAGTGGAGGATGTGGGGTCCCCAGGTAAAGCGCTGGTAACAGGGTCAGAGTGGGTACTGCTAGCCTATGTCCAGCACCTACCGTGTGTTCATGGTGCCAGGAGTTGGGGCAGTAGGCCCTTCTCCCCAGCTGCAGACCAAGCTCCTGATTGATAAATACCTCCCAGCTGAAAAGCAGGCAATAGGGCAGAGCACCCACTGGCCTCAGCCTAGCACCTCCCATGAGTCTTAACGGCTCCAGGGAATCAGGGCAGTTGGCCTCTCTCTTCAGCAGTAGACAGAGCCCCTGAATGTTAAAGACCTCCCACCGCTGAAGCACTGGCAGCCCCCTGACACCTACCAATGACAATTTTTCCTGCGGCCAAGAATGGAGATCATGTGCACATAGGCCTCAATCATGCTTTGCCTGGGCCTGTTTTGGTTCATTCTGCCCGACTAACACATGTCCAGACCAGGTGGAGGTCTGGGACCTGGTTAGTCTACTTGTGAGGGGGTAGTAATGTAACAGACCCATCTGGGACAGGGGCATTTGGAGGGAACTGCAGGCTAGCCTCTTGACTACTGACCATGGGCCCATGCATCTGAGGGGGCTCTGTTCTTTGGAGGTGTGCCTGGGGGGGACCTTTTGGAGTAGTTTTATTTCAGATTCAAGTCCACGTCTCCCTGAAACACATAAACTCTGAGAACTGGAGGACCAGGATACAGATTTGGGGTCTCTGTGCCCACACCAGCATTGACTGCTTCATCCACTTCCCTGGACTCAGAGACTTTCTTGCTGTAATCTGTTTATTAACCACTTGCCTACTGGGCACGTTCCTGTCCCTTCCTGCCCAGGCCAATTTTCAGCTTTCAGCGCTGTCGCACTTTGAATGACAGTTGCACAGTCATGCAACACTGTACCCATATGAAATTTTTATAAGAAATTTTTATATTTTTTCACACAAATAGAGCTTTCTTTTGGTGGTATTTAATTGCCACTGGGTGTTTTTATTTTTTGCGCTATAAACAAAAAAAAAAAGAGCAAAAATTTTGGAAAAAAAAGGTTTTCTTTGTTTCTATTATAAAATTTTGCAAGCAGGTAATTTCTCTCCTTCACTGATGTGCTTTTATGAGGCTGCACTGACAGGCAGCACTGATGAGCATGGATAGGCAGCATTGATGAGGTGGCATGGATAGGCGGCACTGATGATCAGTGCCAATCACTTCTCTGACAATTCCCAGTTATCAGCAGTACTTTCCTCATGCTGTGACCGCGTGCGGAAAGTGCAGCCGATAACAGGCAACTGTATATACCCGCTAATCTGCTGTGTCATTGGGCACAGCTGATCATGTGGTAAAAGGCTGCTGTGATTGTCCGTTTACCATATCACAATATCAGCTGTGTCCGTAGGACACAGCGATCACTGGCGGCGCTGAGTGCGCGCAGGGGGCATGTTCTGGTATGACGTCCATGGATGTCGTCCCAGAACTAGACAACCGCGATGTAGCCATATTTCGGCTATAGCATGGTAGGGAAGAGGTTAAGGTGTTATGTGTTTACTTTGTCTTTGTCCCATTGTAAATTGAGTCACCTATTGTTTGTCTGTTGGCTAGTCCTCCTGGAGGTTCCTACCTGATGAGATTAGTCTGGTGTCGGCTTTACCTCCTTATCTAATCAGTGTGGGATGTATATCCCAATGCATAATATTTTGTTTTATTGTTCATGTGGGGACTGACCCAATTTCTGAGGTGTATAAAAACCTGTATTTCTGTTCAATAAAGCATTCCAGTTGAATCTAATGTCATCTTGTTCCTGGGTGCAAAGGCCAGCTATAATACCTTGGTCCTGTGTCCCATTGGCGAGGAAGCAGTTCTTGGATGGAAGCACCCAGGCAGGGTGCCAGGCAGTCTGTCCGGCAGTCTGTCCCACGGTCGTTCAATATTTTAATCGTTAGTGGAGTTAAATTGAATTTTCTTGTTACTGTGGTAAAAAACGAATGTCAAAGGAGCAGAATGGAAATTTTTCACCAAAATGGAAAAAAAGTGTATGTTCTTTTGGGAAATTATTCTTTCCAATAATTCCTTGCTGGTTTCCCATCCTCTGCCAGTGTGAGGGGGAAGTTTGAGTTTCTTGCCAAAGTATCTTCAAATCGTCCTAGTTGTTGCACTGAAAAGAAACAGATGGCTTTGTTTTGATGTTGTCATTAAAGACAAAATCTTACATGATTTTAGGTATTAGGGTAGGGTATGGGGGAGACAAATCATTACCCCACCCCATCTGTACCAATAATTGTGGGAAATTAAATTTAATCTCTTAAAAAAAAAATAATACGCAATGGTATTTAGCAGGCGCTCACAAATCTATGGTTTTGATTTCTTTGCATGGCCCAGTCAAAAACCCATACTTTGATAATATTGAGAAATTGTGTCAAGTCTTGAAAGTTGCTGTTGACCAGTGGTCTTATTTCAACTTGAAAAAAAATTTTGTTAAGGATATCCGAAAATTGTACCATATAACTGTGCAGATCTAAAAGACATAGAGCTGTAATTACAGCCAAAGGTGGCTCTACAAGGTACTGACTCAAGGGATGGGTGTTACAAATACTTATGCATGTATATAAAATCTCATTCTGGAATTTGGCAAAAGAAAACATATAATGTAAGATTTTATATAAATAAGGACCCTTGAGATAAAGAATATTCAGTTTGTCCTATTAAAGGGCTGCCTGGGCAAAATATTAAAACACTGAGCAGATTACAAAGGGAATAGGTGGTACACTGTTTAAAGATCTCTAAATGTAGATTTCTTTTTTTTTTCTTTCAGAAGCACTGGAGGAGAGTGAATCTTGGCCTTCTACAGAAACTAGTAACTATATCTTTCAAAACTAGATTCAATGTTCAGGGGTTCGTAACCACTATAATATCTTTAAGCAGACCTCTACTGAAAATACTGGTCCATACTTCTTTGTGAGGTCAGATTTACTATATGCAGTATTACAAAGGAAAGTTGGCAAAATTTAAATGTTTGCACCCCAAAAGATAAATTATTTGGCAACTGTAACCATAACCAGTCAGAAAAGCCCACAGAAAGTATTCATCCTATGTTGCTATTAAAAAAAGGATTAACTTTTAGTCTGTGTTACATAACAGTGCAGTTTAGTAGCATTATTATAATATATATTACAAAGAGAAGGTGGCAAAATTAAATGTTTGAGCTCCAAACATAAAATAATAATTGACAACCTTTTACAGTTCAACCGCTTCCCAACCGCCCTATAGCAGACCTACTGCTACAAGGTGGCAGGGCAGAGCAATACAAAGCAGCATGCTTACACAGTAAAACAGCACATAATGTGAAACACACACAGCACACAGTTAACCCTTTGATTGCCCCAGATGTTAACCCCTCCTGCCCAGTGTCAGAGTGTCAGTGGCAGTTAGTCAGTTCCCCCCCGGTGTCAGAATACCCGCCACAGTCCTGCTATAAGTCGCTGATCACTGCCATTACTAGTAAAAAAAAGACCTGTAGCAAAATACATTTTGGCCTGAATTGTGTGAAGAATTTTGATTTTTATTTTTTTTATTTATTTATTTAGTTTTTTTTTAAAAAAGTTTTTACTTATATGTTTTATAGCAAAAAGTCAAAAGTATTGTTTTCTTTTTTCAAAATTGTCAGTCATTTTTTGTTTATAGCACAAAAAATAAAAACTGCAGAGGTGATCAAATACCACCGAAAGAAAGCTCCACAAAAGGAGGGGGAAAAGGGACATAAATTTCCTTTGGGTGCAGCATTGCACGAACACCCAATTGTCAGTTAAAGTAACGTAGTGCCGTATTGCAAAAAAATGGCCTGGTCAGGAAGGGGGGGTAAATCCTCTGGAGGACAAGTGGTTAAGGGCTCATTCACTCATAGTGCAGTTACTGTCATATTTTGCACTGTATACATGCCAGCCACCACTAGGACACATGTAAAATAACTGTTTTCTATGTGCCCTGTTCACACTGCAATGCAGCCCAAAGGTGCAGTGTAGTGAGCTATGGTAAAATGCTGACATGTAACAGGAAGGCACCATGCTACTGTACAGAGACATGAATAAAGTGTTACTTTGTGTACTTCACATGAAATAAACCGTGTTATGTACTGAAATGCAATCACTTGCCTTTCTCACTGCGGCTCACTATCTGAAAACTGACATCAGACTGCATGTTTAGTGTGCATGTAGTGTAAACAAGCCCTTAACAGAGAGGCTGTGGAGAAGAGCAGTTATTGAGACATCTGCCTATCCTTATTCGTGTTGCCATACTATCAGGGCCTGCCATGTGACTGTTAAAACCCCTTTCATTTATGGGTCTTTTCATCAATGCTTTCAACCAATATTCACCCAACAATTACCCAAGATACACTAGTTTTTTAATTTGATCTTCTGCGAAAAACTACTGAATGTTTTTTTGCTTTGATAAATGGAACAGCTCATAGATTGATCAGTTGTTTTTTTTTTTTTTGTTTTTTTTTTGTTCAACCAGGAGGTTGAATGTAAAAAACTGACTAGATTCCCCCATCCACACATTTGATGTGAATAGAGCAATCCTCCCCACTGTGCTATTGCATTCCATGAGAATACACTGATCAGCATTGCTGGTTATGGCCAGCGGAGCTGACCGAGCAGCATTTATCTGACAGGCTGGTTGTATAGAAGTTGATTGGTAGATCGATTTCTGTACAACTACTGCCCCCATACATGGATCGAAATTGTCTGGTCCCTGCTGAACCGACTGAATTATGATCCATGCGCAGTATGGCCGGCTTTAGTTTGACCTGCTCTAGGCAGGTGTGGAAAAAAAAACATGAAGAGTAACGTGCGGTTACTGAAATAAATGAACTTTTGCACGATATTCTAATTTTTTTGAGTTTCACCTGTATGTGAACAGGCACCATAGGAAGCAATGTTTTTTTTTCGCACATCATGCGGATTGGATGCGATTAAAACCGAATCCAATCTGCATATATGTGAACTGGCACTAATAGTTATATCTTCATTAAAAAAAAATTTGTATTCTTAACCAAATTTTTCTGCAGTGCACATTTAGGATCTAATTATGCTGCTTGGCATGGGAGCCTGGATCATGAGACATGCTGAAAAGCGGCATTATAATTTCTTTAGCTGGTAGACGGGTGGGTGTGTATGTGTTTATATAATATACACAATAATATATAAAACACTGGCCAATATTCTATTATTATTCTATTATATTATACACATGAGTATATTTTGGCTGATTAATATGTGATTTATTTCTTTTGGTTGCTAGAACCACAAGAGGAATTAAACATAAAGGAGGAACCAGACCCATAAAGCAAGACCATTATCATTTCTGAGGTAATGTTTACTATGATTCTATATCGAACACCTTTCTTTTGTTTTTTATAAATACTGAAACCGTTTCACAAGCCAGAATGAAGCAGTGAAATATACTCCGCTGCAAGAAAGAAAACACTTGCAAAGTAAGAGACTAGGGAGTGACTTGTTCTCAGGTTACATGATGTTGGATAATTCTGAATACTTGCTATTTACTCATGACTTTAAAGGTTAAGTTTACCTTTCATAACATGTTACATGTCAGACCCATATTCAGGGTGTAACATGTTATGATCAGACCGGCCTCTGCTCCCCTGCTTTGAGAGCTAGTGGGGGGATCTTCTCCCCCCCTCACTAGCTGTCAAATGTTTAAAAAAACAGGGCCGTGCAGGGCTCACTCGCCCGGCCACGTCACTCATTCACTGTGTTCTGTGAATGAGAAACTATAGGTCCCGGCAGCCTTAATGGCTTGTAGATGGTTACCACCAGCGCCGTGGTAGTTCACTGATTCTTCCTGTCAGTACAGTATATATGCTTTCCCATATATCCTGTATCTGACAGATCTGCAGGAGACTTGCCTGGCACCAGCGATCTGCTGATTGCTGTACAATGGTTCACAGGCTCTTGCAACAAAAAAATAATACAATCACCTTATCCTTTAAAATGTATGCCTGGGCAACAAAAAAACACATATTCAGTACATCTGCAATAGATGTACATTTCCCGATCTTTTATTCTTTTAAAAACAAGGTATAGAAACACCTGTTGATATGCCAGAAATGCATTTGCTATTACTACTAGTACTTGTGCTGGTGGGTATCCTCGTAGTTCATTGATTCTTCTTGGACTGAAGTAACCACCTGCCCATGTTGGAGGTATGGGTAGACAGTCTGCAGAAGCCTGACACTGCACCTGCAATCTGATGATCGCAGGTACAATGCTTTCCGGGCTCCTAAGAAAAGAAATGGTAAATGCACCTGCAAAATTAATACATTTTACCTGCAATAAAAGTGCTTTTTTTTTTTTTTTTTTTTTTTTTTTTTTTTTTTTTTTTTTTTTTTAAAGGTGAACTTATACTTTAAGGGGGAGGGAGCTTCATTTTAATAATCTAGATTCCATTTGCTGCAATATAGGTGTTACGTTAAGAGATTCAAATTCACCAAGATCTGGGTGAACCTAAATAATTGAATTGAGTGGATAATTATAATTTAGATTGTTGCAGGTAGGAATACGGTCGCAATGAAAAGCAGTAGACTTGTCTCAGCCTACTTTTAGCCCTGAAACATCCCCAAACCCTCCACTGCCTGCCTCAGAGTATAGAAAGATATCAAATGTTTTTTGAACATCTAGTAAAAGAATCGACTATGATGTGATATGCCAGCACTTTGGATATGTAAATATAGTCTCTTGATGTTATCGTGTATGCCTTTGCCCAGCAAAATCCAGATTGGTCTGGAATAATAGGAGAAAGAATAACTTGGTTTAAGTGAGAAATCAGAAATTATTTTCAGCAAAGTTATGTAGTACAATACATTTAGGCCTAAATTAGATTTTTTAAATTTTTTTTACTGCACGTTTAATAGCAGAAACTCAAAAATATATTTTTTTTTTTCCTCAAAATTGTTTTTTTTTTTTGTTTGTTTTATAGCGCAAAAAATAAAAACGCACAGGCGATCAAATACCACCGAAAGAAAGCTCAATTCATGGGGGAAAAAAGGACATAAATTTTAATTTGGGTGCAGTGTTGCATGACCGCACAATTGTCAGTTAAAATAACGCAGCACCATAACGCAAAAAATGGCCTGGTCAGGAAGAGGGGTAAATCTTCAGGAGGGCAAGTGGTTAATAAGAGCAAAAGTTGTATTGATTTCTGTGGGATCCATAGTGATCGCATCGTCAGGTATGCCAGTGCTAAATCAAAATGCTTAGTGTGTAAAATGTGCCTACATTCCCACTGTGCTCACATAGATGTGCTGATGAATGTAGTTGGTTTTCTTGCAACACATCAACAGCATGGAGATATAAGGCACGATGATCATATGCAAGAATGCTCTGGGTAGTAGGAGAAGGATCTGTTAGGTACCACCGCTGAGGTAGCTAGAGATACAAGGGTAGAACAACAGGAGGTTCTCTTAAAGGATATGCTCACCTTTTGAAAAAAAAATTATAAATTCACATTTTTTGCAGGTTAAAAAAATGGGTTTATTATCCTTTGTTTCTAAGGAGCCTGCAGAGCATTGTATCTACGATCAGCAGATTGTGGGGGCAATCTCAGGCTCCTGCAGACTCTCAGCATAGCTGTCTGCCTGTACCTTGTCCTAAATGCAGGAAGAATTGGTGAACTACCAAATCACTCTCTAGCGCCTTCATAGTTCATTGAGAACGACATGCTGTCAGACGCAACAGATGATGGTACATGTAGGCATTCATTCACCGGAAACTGTAAATGAACAACGCAGCTGTGTGGGCGGAGCCTTGCACAGTTTCCCCATATTCAAATAGTGACAA